TTTGGTTGGAAATTTAGATTTGAGCTGAACTGACCCCTGACTTTCTCTTATTCTAGAAGGCAGTGGTTCTTAAGCGTAGTCTTCAAATGAATTCCTTAGAAATGTCAGTTACTGAGCCAAGTCTCCCATTCCTAGAGCCACTGCCCCTGTTACTGCACTTCCTGATCTGATTGTGGGGCCTTGTGTTTTGGATGTGAAAGGTCTTCCATAGACTCATGTGTTTGGATATTTTGCCTCCAGCTGGTGTCACTGTTCTGGTGGGTTGTGGAACTTTTAGGAGGTACAGCCTCACTGAAAGAAGTAGCTTACAAGGGGTGAGAGCCTTGAAGTTTTACAACCTGGTTCCACTTCCTGCCTGCTTCCTATCAAGACATGAGGCGATGAGACATACCAACTGCACACTGCTGCCACCATGAACCAGCTTCTTCCACTCTGCAAGCCGCTGCCACACAGAGTCTTTTACTATGCCTTCTGTACCACAATAAATTGCATCCCGTCACACTATGAGCCCAAATGACCCTTTCTCCTGTGAGGTGTTTGCTTAGATATGTGGTTGAAGATAAATGGTATTGAGGGTTACAAACCCCTCTCCGGCTGCCCTGCAAAGCCATCCTCAGGTCCTCCTGGACAAACCCCTCTCGGGCTGCCCAGCAAAGCCATCCTCAGGTCCTCCTAGGCATGTGCTTTTGCGGGTGCTTGGGAGGATGAGCATCTCTTGCCCAGATGCTGCTAGTGTAGCAGGAAAACTTCTGGGAGAGCTTGACTTCCTGAGTTGCTGAACTCCACTGATCTTGCCTTCTGTACATGTCTTCTCTCAGTAATTCAGGTGGAGGACTTTCCTGTGTCATTACTGAACCCTCCCTTCTCTCTACCATCTCATTGAAGCACAGCTCTGTTTGAAATGATGTTAACAGTCCACTGCCATGCTATGAGCTCCCATGGGCTCTCTCTACCCTCATCTGGGTCTGGAGAGCACATCTCATGCTGTGAACTTGGGAGCTCTTTGAGCAGTCCGTGGACAGTATTCAGATTCTCCGAGGGCTCCTTGGTATGTGCTTTGTGACTGAATCAAGAGGATGTGGCAGTGCTGGGCCTTCTTTCAGAGTTCAAGAAAGGAATATAGGGAAAGCCGGACTCATGCCACGGGAGTTGGCATGGACTTGGCTGAGTGATTGTAAATGTAAAGTCTTTCACCCATTTGGGAGTAAACTTGTGCTCCCAGAAGTAACATGTAGGCAATATGTGGGACTGGTGGATGGAGGTTAGACCCTTTTCGAGGTGAAGGACCTGGAGTCAGGCTGGAATGGACATTTGTCTGATGCAACTCTGGGCAATTCCCAGATTTGTAATTGTTTAGGTGGCATAAGCTATCTGTGATTATACCTAGGGTGTGCGTATCTGTCTCCTAATTGTGTGTCCAGTGCACTTATGGGGGTTCCCTGAAACATCTCTGTGCCTCTTTTTTTTAGCTACTTTCCTTGTCATTGTCACTAAAAATCCCAACCAGGAGCAACTCCAGGGAAGGAATACTTGTTTTGGTTTATGGTTTGAGGGTACAGTCTATCACGGTGGGGAAGGCATTGAAGGGCAGGGGAGGTTGGGGTTCCCCATAGCTCATCTCTGCAGACCAGGAAGTAAAGGGCCAGAGTGATCAAATGCTAAATGTGGGGCTAGGCTATAGCCCTTAGGTCCTGTCCTCTACCAACCTAGTGCTCTAGCTAGGCCCCATCCCTTATAGCTCCACAGGCTCTCAAAACAGCACCAAGCTGGAGACACATGACCCTGTGAGAGATAGTTCACATCCAAGCTACAACACCCTTTATACCCCCAATTGTGAGGCCAGATGGAAGATCTGAGCCACCTGGCCTCCAATTTTCCCTGCCTGTGTAATGGGAATGATGTCTGCAAAAAGTTACCACAGTTGCAAAATGCATGAGTAATGAACACGTGCCTCTCTGTACAGCCCCTGGTGTTCATGTGTTGAGCTGATTACCAGATTCCCCACATGAGCTACTCAATTTCCCTGCCTCAGTTTCTTTGTGTATAAAATGGGGATGAACAGAACTTAGTGCTGGTAGGAAACTTAGAGAAGCAACAGCCCTGCGTACTGTGTGTTACCATAGTGACTTGGATCCTACTTTCCTTCAGTGTGTGGCTGTGTCTGGGGCAGACTCTGACTTTGTGACAGTTTCTGCCAGTGTGTATGTGAACATTTGTATGTGCATATATGGCCAGGCAGGCCCCCTTCTCTCTGGGTGGGGTTTGCTGTTGGCTCATGCCTGGGCTTGCTGAGCCAGCTAGAGCCTCCAAAGGGGATGGAATTTCCATTAAGAATTAAGCAGGGCAGTGCTGGGGAAGCCAAGCAGGCAGAGGGGAGTAAAAGGGAGATACTTTAACTCTGAGCTCCTGGGGCAGCCTTAGTCCTGATTAGTCCTTCAGGCCTCATCAGCCATGGTCCAGAAGGATGGGTGGAGAGAATGGAGCTGCTCACAGGGGCCTCTGTAAGGATACCTGAATCACTACAACCCAGACTGACACCATGAGGCGGCCCCCAGGGGATGGCGAATCCACCCGAGAGAGGCCAGACAACTGGGGCTTATGGGGAGCCCAGGAGTCCAGGAGGCTGTGCTGTACTGTAGGTATCTGGGAAGGGTATATGTATGTGTTTGTGTGCATACATGTGTGAGTGTGCATGTATGTGGGCATGCATGTATATCTGTGTATACATGTGTATGTGTGTTATGTGTATGTGTCTCTGTGTGTACTTATGTGTGTTCCTGTGTATAGGTACACATGTGTATGTATATTATACATATATATGTGTGTATGTTTGTGTGCATATATGTGTGTTTGGGTGTCTCTGTCTTTGTGTGTGTGTGTGTATGTATGTATGTATGTATGCATGCATGTATGTTTATGTCTGTATTTATGGGTTTGCATGTGTATATACAAACGTACATATGTGTCTGTGTGTATATTTGTATGTATTTGTGTATGTGTATGTATGCATTTAGATCTGTTTATGTGTGGCATGTGTGTGTGTGTGTATGATGTGCATGTGTGTATGTTTGGTTGAAGCTTTAACCACAAGTGCCTAAAGGGTACATGTAGCAAGCTAAGTGATTCTTCTTACTCTCAAATATAGGTACAAGATTGTCTCAGAATAAAAGCCCTCTGAGGCCTCTTGCTAACAGAGATGCTGTTTAAGACCTAAGCCTCACTTCTGACATGCTACAAACCATCTTAGCCTTCCTGGCCACTTCAAATCCCTGAACTTTCAGACTTCTTTTTGTTTTAGTAATACTTTTATTTATAGTCTGATAATTTAAAATATATTTTTATTGGCATGAAGTGTTGCCACAGTCTCACCTTTTCTAACTCCTCTCAGATATTTCCATATATCTCTACTTTCTTATCTTCTTTATGTTATTTCTCTCTTTTATCAAAACAAAATGAGAGTGCAATTTGTGATGGTCAGAGACTCCTGAGCATGGAGTATGCTATGGATTGTGGTGGATCTATCCACTGTCATTTTATTAAGCACAATTGATTTGTCCATTCCTAAAAGCTATCAATTTTAATGCCTCATGAGCAGGCAGACCTGGTTATGATTGCATTATATATTTGGGAAAACTAAAGTTCAGAGTAGTTGGATGACATGGCTGAGACACAGCTAGGATGTAGTAGAGGGAGGACAGAATCCAAGTTATTTGCATACCCCTTAACCCACCAGGAGCACATGGAGAGAAGATTCTGCAAATGTCCCACTTGAGGAAGGTGTGAAGTAATGTCCGCACCCCGCCCATGTCCCCTAGAGGCCGCAGCCCTGTTCCAGGGAAAGAAACAGACTGGAGGATACAGTACTGAAGTCCTCTCCCACAACTGAGGCCAGAGTCCTGAAGTCTGGATGGAAGCAGACTGGAATTGAAATTGGCTTGTCCTGGGAATGATTGGGCTACCTGCAGAGCCCTGAGCCCCCAGAAAACCCAAGTGAGTGATTTGATGTCAAAGCTGAGATATTTCCAAGGCCAGGCAGCAGCTGTGCCAGCCAGACCTGAAGCAAGGAACAGGAGTGTTTAGCATCAAGGAAGAGATGCAGGACATTGTATTACAGAGGTGATGCTGACCTGCTCTCCCTGAACATATAATGTGAGCAAACCTGCAAACTTCCCATCAGGGCCCCAGGTGGTTGACAACTGTCTTTTCTTGGCAGTCTATGAAGGCAGAGGCTCTTCAGGTCCCAGGGATTCCTAACAGGGTGGAAGGCATTGAATGGAATGAACTAGAAGCTTCCTTTCAGTCTAAAAATGTAGCATTCCAGAGCTTTTGGACCTGAACCAGACTTCTGTGGACTTAGCCATCTGACATGGAGCCCAGGGTGAGGGTGAGGTGGGGAGGCATCTCATCAATAACCCCTGTCATTTTTGGCAGGTCTATGATGTGGAGGGTGACTTAAGTGGGTAACTGAGTTTCCAAAGGGAAGCACCTGCAGTGAACAAACCCAGTCACATTCCTGGCGTTTGGGGCTGCTCCATGAGGCTGGGCCCTCCTCAGAGATGTGAATTGTGCCCAAATCTCTTCTTGTTTTATTTTTTATTTCTGCTTCAGGAAACTGATTGTAGCAGCACAGTCCCTTCCCCTCCCCAGATGTTGGCATGCGGGACACATTTAGGCGCCCTCGCCTGGCCGTCTCTGGTGGCTCTGGGTGATGGCCCAGCCCAGGGGTGAGCTGGGTCTCTAATTAGACCCGACCGCATCCCCATTCCAAAGCTCCCACAGATGAGACAGCACGCGGTCTCCACTGTGGCCAGGGGCTCTGAAATAGCCCTCGCTCCTCGGTGGAGCCTCGCAGGCCACGGTGCCTGGTGCAGGATAAACGTTTGGCTGGGTGTGCACCGCTAGGGAAGAGTCCGGGGGGGGGGGGGTTGGGGCAGTGGGGCCGCCTCCGGCAGCGCCGGCCTGAGGCCACTTTGCGCCTGGCCTCTGGAGTTCCAGCTGCTGTGTGCTGCCACCCATCGCTGGCCTCTGCACACACCCGCATTCTGCCTTGTAAGCTCAGAGTAAGTAGCAGAGGGATGGCTAGCTGTGGTTAGATTCAGGGGCCGAGGCTGGAGCTGCTGGCGTTAATTGTGACCAATAGGATAGCAGGTGTGATTGTGTCAATGTGAGAGTTTATGTGTAGGAGGGGGTGTCAGTGGGAGGGATTGTCAGCATGTGGACTTTTCTAGCATGTTTGCTCCGGTGTGTGTGTGTGTGTGTGTGTGTGTGTGTGTGTGTGTGTGTGTGTGTGTGTGTGTGGTGGTCCTGGAGCATGCTCACAGGTGACTGCTGTTGTCTGTGGCACACAGGTGGGTCTAGCTGAGCCAGTGGAAGTGAAGTGCCTCTGTGTAGGACACAGGAAGTTGTCTAGAGGGAGGGCTCCTGCCAGTGTAGGTGACGGATGAGGGTGAGAGACAGCTCAGAAGGTAGAAAGTGGATAACAAGCAATAGATACTTGAACTGACACTTTCTAGAGTGACCTGGTTTGTCCCCAACTGTTGTCCTCAACTGGGGTGCCTTGTCTGTAGGTCAGGCAGCTTTGCTTTCTCAGGACTTTGGGCCACACTGGAGCTTAAAGCTCTCATCTGGTATAAGAGTGAATGGGATTCTGATAGATCTTACTCCACGGGGCAAGGAGTGGAACTCCACGTTCATAATCAGAAGAGGCAGGGGTGGGGGATGGCGGACAGGACACTCATACATGTGCACTAACAGTGCATCCACATTCCACGCAGAATGTACACCCATGGAAAATGGCATGTATGTATTGTACATCCATGTTGTAAATGTGTGTGCAAAACCACAAGCCTTGAATTGACCCTGGCATCTGCCTCTAGCCTCCTTTTTATTTCCTGTGCTCTTCATTGGGCATTTCTGACAAATGGGTTCAGAAACCTGGCCTCAGTAGGGGAATGCCTTCCTTTGGGGGCTTTGACTGGGGATTAAGGCAGGAGGTGATGTGATGCCTTTGTGTATCTCATCTCATTTGCACGAGGTCTGTCTGTGGAGGCAGCCGCAGAGCACCCTGTGTTTGGCCTTGAGGGCTACGTGGGGAATGCAGCAGTTGCTCGTTTAGAGGGGAGAAGGCTTATCTTACGTGAGATGGGATAAAGAGGGTGCGAGTGAACCTCAGCACCATAGCTTGCCCCAGACTCACGTTCATGGCTTAGATCATTCTGCTGCAAAGTGCAGGGAGACTGTGGGGCTGGGCTGGGGATGGGAAATGGAATGGGCCTGGACCCCTTCCTTCTGTTCTTGGGTTTGAGCCACCCTGCCTGCAGCTGCTGGGGAGACAGCCTTCTCTACAGCCCCCTCTCTCCTTCCACAGTTATGTGGAGACCACTGGGAGCACCAATAACAGTGCTTGGAACACTGAGTGCTCCCAAGTGCCAGGGGCTGGTACTTCCACTACGGTTATTTCACTATGAACTCCAGAGCCCTTCTGCCCTGGCCAGTCTCTCCTCCATAGGCTTCTGGGATGTGTCCAAATCCCATGTGATTTCTTTGGTTGGGAAGTTAGGGAGGATTTCGTGTTTGTGATCTGTCCTTAAGGCTGCCTTTCAGCCTTAGGACTGGGGAATGATCCAGGCTTAATCATTTCCAGAGAGGTTCACTAGGGTTTGTCTTTCCTTCGGTCCAATTTTAGATCTGACCCTTAGAGATGGATAAATAAAGTCTGGCTGTGGCTAGTGTAGCAGGTTTGCTGCAAAGAGAAGGAAGTGTTTTCCCTTTCATGTCTCCCTCATTACTCTAGCTTCTGGGACACTCCCAGCACATCACACTGCTCCTTTCTATTAAGTTAGTAAGTTATCACTTGAGTTTTGATTTCTACTTTAATAACTGTATAGACTACATTTCTTTAACTGGGAATTCCATTATACTTTACAGAAGAGATGAGAATAATAAAAGAATAACCACCAATCAAGAATTCTGTTAGTCTCCAAGATTAAAGTCACATTGTTTAGATTTCCTTTCTTTCTTTCTCTTTCTTTCTTTCTTTCCTTCTTTCTTTCTTTCTTTCTTTCTTTCTTTCTTTCTTTCTTTCTTTCTTTGTCAGTCCTACTTGGAAATATTTCATCTGATTTTTAATTTTTGTGTCTCAATTGTTACTTCTGTGCTTGAGCTCCGATTGGTACCATGTCTTAGGGCTTTTCTTCCTAGTGGCTGGTGGAGATAATGGCTATCTCTGTGCTGGTTCAGACAACAGGGATTGTCTAGGATGAATTGAGGCATTGATCAGCACCCCTGCTCTGAGGGCTTCAGCTGACAGCCCCTCTGTGTCTTAAAAGCCCTAGTGTCTGAGTGCCCAAAGGGGTTTGGCCCTTGCCCTAAACCTGGCCATGGCCCCATGACTGCCCCTTCCTCATGTGACCCTGCCTTGCCCTAGGCTTTGCGGGGAGGTCTGTGTCTCTTGGGTCTGAGCCCTGATTCCCTCCACATGATTGAGGCTTTGTGGGGACAGAGGTTTGGATGAAGAATGTGGGAGTTCAGAGTGTGCTAGGGCCCATGGAGGGTTAACTTGCCTCCTCCTCTCAGTCTGGATGCCACAGGATGGAGTTCATCCCCATCTCTTCTCCAGAAGGGGTCCCAAATCAGTCAGATAGTCAGAAAGCCATTTGTTACTGGTAGGCACTCAGGGCAGGGCCTAGGCTATCACAAGGCTGGTGAAAGCTCTACTTCCTTCTGTGGGATCATTATACTTGTAGAGGCTTCTGTGTTGGGGAAAAATTCCCACACCAGGGCCATGCTTGCACAGGGCAGTGGTTAGAGTGCCTACCTTTTCCAGCCCTGTGTGGGTGACTGCTTCTCCAGGATTGCTAAGTCAATCAAGGTGGCGGCTGTTGCTCATGTTCAGGGCTAACTGTATGAGAAGCATTTGGTCACAAATGAAGAAAGAGAAAATCCTCTGGGCCTGCTACTGGGTAAGGTGTAGTGGCTTTGTTCTTTTCAGGATGAATGTAACCTCAAAGAGGAGATTGTACCTCTGCCGTGGATTCGTTCTGGTTGTGCTCTCTTGGCTTCCAGACATTGAAACTTGACCTGGTAAGCAGGCTTAAAAGCAGCGAGAGAGCATGATGTGGGATGTCAGAATGTGTGAGTGGGAAGTCCACTTACAAGTTCCCACACTTAATAACTAGTAAAAGGCAGTTCTCTGTTTTTGGACCTTTGAATCTTTTGTTTCATGAAATCTCTAGGACAGCTTCTGGAATGGGCGCTTGCATCTTAGACACAAGGGAACTGAAGTGTAGCTAGGTCAGTTAAGGCCCAGGCCAGAGCCAGCCATACTTCTTGCCAGGTCTGCCACTGTGGAGTCTGCAGTGGATGGATACTAGCTACTGAACAGAATAGACAACTCTCTCCGTTTTGGAAGCCTGAGAGCAGGCAAACTAGGGGAAGGCCTAAGGGCTTGTCTCTGTCTGGTACCAGGAAGTGAATATCACCAGCTTCATCACTGAGCAGCATCCCTGCCCTTCCCAGCCTCAGATGGGGATCATCACTTCCTGGGTCACAGGGGTACATGGTGAGGGAACATCTCATGGGACAGGTGAGAATCTCCCAGCCAACATCATGGGGGGAGGGCGACACTGGGCATCGGTGGTTTTATTCTTCCCTGGATCAATCTCTGTTCTTGGAATGTAGTTCCCACCAAAACTCCATCATCTAGTCAGTCCAAACTCCCCTCCTCCAATGCTAGGTACCCCCAGTGCCAAGCTCTGGTGTGTCCCATATCCCCTGAGGTTGTCTCTGGGCAGACAGGATTCTGCCAGGCGTGATGCAGTGTCTGTAGGCGTCAGCAGTTTGGCTGAGTAATTGTGTATAGTGTTCAGTTTGCACTGGAGAAATGGAAGGCTAGTCTTACAAACCAAATAGTTTGGTTTGGAAATGCTGTCAAGTGTGGCCTGTGGTCTGAGAGTGTGAGCTGCATTGTGGGCTTGTATGCCCTGCTGGTTTAAAAGATGCCATTGTGGGATGGACTATTTCATCCAGGTCATTCATCCTAATGGAGTCAGAGGTGTGTAGCACACATTGGCAATATGAGAGGACTAGGACATAAGCTTTTCAGACAGGAAAAAAGACCTGATGTCTGGTCTCAGTTTGCTGACCTGTAAAATGGATGTCTTATTATAGAAGCAATGACAGAAGCAGGAAGGTTACTAGAAACCTAGCATCTGGCATAGAATAAACAAACCCTGAAAGACAAGCTCCCTGATTCCTGCCCCATTCAACTTCATGAAAGAACACCAGACTTCAGGAGAGGTGGATACCAGTTCTCCTGAGCCTCTGAGCTTTCTGTTACCTTCCCTTCCCTGAGTCCCCTTTCTTCTGTGTAGAATGAGAGACTAGCAAATTTCCCTTACCCCTCTGTACATTTTGAGGGTAAAGAACCCAGAGACAAATCTAGAGGTTTAGTTAGCACTGAGTCACTAATTCATGTCTGACATATTAGTTGAGACCGTTTGTTGTGCTAGGACCCAGGCAAAGCATGCATTAAAGGGACAAATGAGTATCCCAGTCCCTAAGTCATCATCTGACCATGTGACAAGACAGATATGCACACACAGAGGTCCATCTGTTGGGTATGGTCCATATAGGCCGTGTCCTCTCCAGCTGTGCACATCAGAGAGGCCTTTCCAGAGATGGACACTCATGATCTTCATCCTGAAAGATAAAAAGTTCCAGAAAGTAGAGAGGAGAACTGGCATATGTTAATGTGCTGGGCTGTGAGTTTGTGTGTGTGTTGTGTTCACATGTGTGTGGACACACATATGTGCAGGTATGCATGCACATGTGTGCCCGTGGACGTTTTCCTCTAACTCTCCACATTCTTTGCTGCGACACTGAACCCAGAGTTTACCCATTGGCTAGTCTAGCTTGTAAGCTTGCCCTGGGGATCCTGTCTTTGTCTCCTGAGCACCGATTACAAGTGGGCTGCTGTGCCCATCTGGCTTTCATGTGGTGCTGGAGATCCAAACCCCTGTCCTCATGTCCGCATGGCAAGTGCTTATCCACTGAGTCATTT